GGTATCGTTTGTCAAATTTACTATCTAGTATTTAAGAAACACTAGAATATAATCAAGTATTATAGACAGTACTGTCCACGTATCTCTTTCTGAACACAAACTTTAAAAGCTGTAAAGAACACAAGCCACTTCCCCCCCCCCAAACACCTAACAGCCTTTTGACAGCTGAGCCAGCATCAGTAGTGTATAACCAGAAGACTGCAAGCAAGAGAAACCACCTCTGAAATCTTGCTTTAGATAAGAATATGATCTGTAATCTACAGGCAATGGAAGCAACAAATGGCCCAGCTTCTATACACTCCTGCTATAGTGTATCAAAATGGCTTTACAAGAAATGAACACTATGCTTATATATATATATTTAATAAAAGCATGCTGAAAGCATGTGCAGAGACCTGGCAAAGGAACAAAACAAAAATTCTACAAAAGTTGTGAGAGGCAGTTTTAATAGCAACTTCAGTGGAGTGCTTTAGCACGCTGACTGGGCAATGCATGCACTTATCCATGCAAAGATAAAATGATGGCACCTGACACTTAGAAGTAGGGTATGCATTTGTGAAAATCCGACTGAAGTAAATTGCTTGCTAAATTTACAAAAATAAAAACAGCCAATGCTGTAGCTTCCTTCAGCAAAGGCTTTTTTGTTTATTTGTTTTTTTAAAAAAACCAGTAGACTCGAAAACTGATCCACAGGCCCAATTCTCCCTTCCTGGAACAGATACTGAGTTCTTCCAACAACGGCATTCCTAAAAGATCAGGTCTGAAAGATTCTTTCGGGTGGGGGGGGGGGAGGTTGAGCTTGCATGCACCCAAAGTTGCCCCCAAACTCCCAGCCTGCTTCTCAACTTTAGCAAACCGCCTAGGCTTTACAAGAGAAAGGAGGAGATTGCAGGGGGAAAGCAGGGGAAAGGGGGCTTGCCAGAAACAAGGAGATCACCTCAGCATGTGGGGGGTTTTGCTCAGGTTTCCTCAAGGAGGAGAAATTCAGAAAGGCTTATTTCTTTGCACCCACCCCCAGTAGCTTTGACTTGTTCAGGAGAAGACCCAGAGCAGAGTTCCAGGACACTCACTTTTCCAGGAAGCAAGAATAAGCAGTCTCGCACACACACTTGCCCCCCCTCACTTTTTAAAAATTCCACCTGCTTCGATTACTTACACACGTAAAAACACACATACACACACACACAGCTCCCTCTATCACTCCTTCCTGCTTCCCGCGGGAGATTCAAAGTCCTCCCTCCCTCCCTCCCTCCCCCCC